AGCAGGATGGACACTTTCTCAGGATTAACAAAGTTCAGGTAAATTAGAAACTGATGTCTCAGAATGTAAAAAAAAAAACTACATTTTGAAACGGACCGTTTCTGATAATATTGCAAGGTTAAAACTGTGTTAGGTAAGACTTGCCTGTACAAATGTGTGTACAGTAACTCTGTGCACATGCACTATTTAGAATAAGGTGCAACTTTATAAAAAAGCAGTGCTTTGAAGGTAAAACACACTTACACGGAGAATGTTGGTCTAACAAATGGAAGGTTTTAACATTGGTCCAGGAAAGCACAACATTGTTATGCAAGAACTGATTATTGCCCTCTCTGTAAAGGTCGAAGATGCAGGTCTATACACCTGCTTGGCCAGCAGCCTAGCTGGAGAGGAGCGAAAAAACTACTGGGTTCGAGTTCAAGGTGACACAAGCTGTTCCTGTGTAGCATGCAAGAAAACTGTCCCTCCTCTCACTTAACTTCCTCCTTTTCTTGCACCTTTCTTGCCCTTAATGACTCTATAGGCCTATATATTTGTATTTGCACCAAAGTAAAAATACGCCCAATCTAGCATCCTTCTTTATAAATGTTGTGATGTGTTGGAATGCTAGGCATGTATTTTTAGTACCAACAAATGATTTTTACATCTGTCTGTGTTTTGCATGATCATGTCTTTACCTAAAGAAAGCTGTTCTTTAAACAAAGAAAGTGTGTATCTTCACTGGGTAATTTTTTGCTTATTCACTTCAGTGAAGTTCTCCATTTAATAATCAGTGGTTGTGTTTCAGTCCCCCCAACTCTCCTTGGCTCCAGTGATGCACGGACGTTGACAGTGCCAGTTAATGGACATTTGACTTTGGAGTGCCTGGCTGACAGTGACCCCCCTCCAAATATAGAGTGGTACAAGGATGAGAACAAACTGCAGGTACACGGTCAGGGGAAACAAAACAAGCAGAAAACCATCAGCTATCAGATTCACACTCTTTGTATGTTTTTTTTTTTTTTTTTTTGGTGGTCAGATCCAGCAGCTGGCGGGGGGGCAGTACCTGGAGATACAGGAAGTCAGGTCTGAGGACAGTGGCCAGTACAGCTGTGTGGTCACCAACATGGCCGGAAGCACCAGTTTGTTTTTCACTGTGGAGGTCGTCTGTAAGTCTTCTGTCAGTAAGCTAATCTAAACACGTCTGAAATAGCTGCAGTACATGCCAAACCAAAGTCACTACATGGATCACTTCTTTGTTTATTTAGCACCACCAGTAATAAAGGAGAGCAGCCCGGTGGTGACTGCACAAGTTGGACAGGATGCAGTTTTACTTTGCGAAGTTGAAGCTGACTCTACACCTACAATCACATGGCGGAAAGATGGCTTCCCTGTGTCTCAGGATAACAGAAAGTATGTCCAAGAGTCCAACCTGGCATCTGTCATATTATACTTCGTGCTTGATTCAATTAATCCATTCATTTATCTTTACATTTTGTATTTGTTTTAGATACACCAGGTTGTCAGAGGGATCCTTGCATGTACATGAAGTTCAGCTGAGTGATGCTGGTCGCTACTACTGCACTGCATCCAACCAGGCTGGCTCAGACCACCAGGGAGTGGATCTTCGGGTATTTGGTAAATAGAGCAAAGAAAAGTGAAGAGATACCTAATGACTTTGGTAATATTTTCTGTCATTCTACAGTATATAGCACAGGCAGAGTGATGGCAGTTTTGATTACCAGTGTGTCCCTGTTTTATTTTACCTGTTTGTTATACTTTAACACACACATACACTCACTGTGGTCAACATATCTATCAAGCTGAAACTGTTGTGTCTCTTATTAGTGCCTCCTTCAATCAGCCCTGGTCCATTCAATGTGACAGTAACCACAGGGATTAGGGCTGTGCTGAGCTGTGAGACTACAGGTATACCTCCCCCTAAAGTGTCCTGGAAGAGGAATGGCACTCCACTCGATATCAGTCAGCTGCCTGCAGAGTACAGGTAAAGACTACAGCTGGACTGCCTTTGAATACACAGTATGCAAGAACTTAAAGCTGATGCAGTTCTGCTTCTCTGTCCAGGTTATTGTCCTCTGGGTCCCTGGTTCTTTTGTCCCCATCCAATGAGGATGAAGGTTACTTTGAGTGCACTGCCATTAATGATGTAGGCGAGGAGCGCAGGGTCATTGAGGTCACCCTGCAAGGTTAGGATTTTGAGTTTTAAACAGTAAGTAAGCTGCACAAAATCACTTCAGTGGCTGAACTGATGAATTTTCTGTTTTCACTTTTAGTCCCACCATCTATTGAAGATGATGTCACAGCAGTTACAGCTGTGAAAATGTCTCCTGTGGTGTTGCCTTGTCATGTACAAGGACGCCCTCGGCCCACCATCACTTGGATTAAGGGTGGAAACAAACTGGGATCCAGAGCAGGGGATCATCGTGTCCTTCCCACTGGTAAGACAACTTGTCCAAGGAACTGTAGCGGATTTGTGGTTCCTTGTGTTAAAGCACTTTGTAGTCCACTGATACAGTAATACCACAGGGCAAGGCATATATTTTGCTCATCAAGTATGATGTTATACAGTGTAATTCTGTACTCATTGTTATACAGGTGTGTTGGAGATAACTGCTGCTCTGCCAAGTCATGCTGGGAGATACACATGTTCAGCGCGCAACCCAGCTGGGGTGGCTCACAAACACATCTCTCTCACAGTGCAAGGTGTGGACTGGCTGCAGGTTAAATGCTATGTATTGGAATCCTAAAATTAAAAAAAGCATTTAAACCCATATGACAATATATTTGTTCTTCTGTGTACTTAGAGCCTCCCGAGATCAGACCAATGGCAGAGGAAGTACAGGTGGTGTTGCATCATGGGGCTGTTCTCCCCTGTGAGGTTCAAGGATTTCCTAGACCAACTATCACCTGGCAAAGAGAGGGAGTTTCTATAGCAGCAGGTAACAATATATAAAATACTCACACGACATTTATGAACACTGTTACCATTTGATAGTGCTGTCACATTTTTTATTGAAGCAACTTATATATGCCAACACTGTTTTTGGAACATTTATATTACGTTTAATGACCTTAAAAAAATGAAATGTATTATGAAAGACAATGTTACCGACTGGACAGCAATATTGTCATCCAGTTAGCTTCATAAAACCCCACAGGTTCCACTGGAATATATGTGAGTTTGTTTAATCACAGGTCACAGGCTGGCTGTGCTCTCGAACGGAGCTCTGAAGTTCTCTCGGGTCACACTTGGTGATGCGGGGACCTACCAGTGCCTGGCAAAAAATGAAGCTGGTGTAGCTGTGGGCAGGAGGAAACTGGTCCTACAAGGTAACGTGGACTTTTGAACTCACAGATGGGAAGAACATGGTGGTTTATCTGTGTTTATTATTCCCTGTAGTCAATTTGTATGTCAAACTGGCATGTGCAAAGAAACAAACTCCCTAACTCTAAGCTAATATTGCATCTAAATGAATTAACACCTGTTCACTCTCCAGTTCCACCGGTACTGAGTGTGCCTCGTGTGGAGTACACTGCAGTGCTAGGCCAGCCAGTCAGTCTGGAGTGTGTAGCTGATGGGCAGCCTCAACCTGAAGTTACCTGGCACAAAGAGAGGAGGCCTGTTGTTGACAGCACTCGTATACATATCTTTGCGAATGGAACTCTGACAATTACTTCTACCCAGCGCAGTGACGCAGGCCTTTACACCTGTACTGCCAAAAACCTTGTTGGCAGAGCCAGCCATGATATGAGGCTAGTTATTCAAGGTGAGTTGAGGCTCATTGCAGTTTTATTTCACACTGTGTAAAGACTGATTGACATGTTCATCTAACTGAATGATGACGTCGCCTTTCAGTCCCGCCCACGATTCCTCCTGCACAGACAGAACTTTCAGTTGTTCAAGGATTTCAGGCACTGCTGCCATGTGCTGCTCAGGGTTCACCGGAACCTAGAGTATCATGGGAAAAGGATGCCACCGTTGTACCTAACCGCCCAGGCAAATTCACTGTCCTGCGATCAGGAGAGCTGATTATCGAGCGAGCTGAGGTACAGTCCATGTTCTTCATGCATTAGTCATTCTTTACTGGCTCTGTCCAAATCTAGGTGTAAGAATCAGTTCAGACTGCTTTCCTCACTCAGCCAGGAGATGCTGGTGTGTTCACATGCGTGGCTACCAACGCAGCAGGCTCTGTGAGACAAGATGTTCACCTTTCCATCAACATGAGGCCTGCCTTCAAGGAGCTGCCAGGTGATGCAACCCTGAACAAAGGACAGAGTCTGGCCTTGTCCTGCCATGCTCAGGGAGCACCTTCACCTGTCATCTCCTGGACTGTCAACAACAGACCATACACAGGTATCATGTTCTTTTACATGGAGAGCTACACAGCATTTTAGTTCTACCAAAATATTAGCGCCATTTTGACAAAAATCACATCATATTCAAAATGGCAGCTTTTGTGGATCACAGCAACATGAAAAAGCAATCAGTTATGTTTAACTGAATGCAGCACTGTCTGTTAAAACTAAACCTTGTTATCATGCACTGATCGATTAAATGTTCCAGGTGCTACTGTGGATGGATCTGGCAGGAGCTCCGTCATCATTGACAGTGTGACTATGAGTGATGCAGGAACTTATGTGTGCATAGCAGAAAACAGTGTGGGCTCCATCCGAGCGCTTTCATTTGTCCGTATCAGAGGTAAGCATTTTGTCAAAGATGTCAGTCCCACTCTTTACTTTCTACAGATAGTACCAGCTTAATATATGTCATACTATATGCATGTCTCCAGAGCCCCCAGTGTTGAAGGGTGAAGCCCAGATGTCTCAGACAGTCGTCCAAGGTGGCTCTGCGCTGCTTGACTGTCCAGTTCATGGAGACCCCAGCCCTGTTCTCCGTTGGCTCCGAGATGGAAAACCCCTGCTTCACTCCCTCCGAATGCAGACTCTTCACAATGGATCTTTGTTCATTTACAGCATCACTGTAAATACAAAGTTTACGCTGACCCTATAACTTCCTACGTTTGATAGCGTGACCCTCTTTCTAAACAGATTTTGTTAAAGAAAGTCACAGGTTTTAATGATTAAGCCTTCTTTACCAAACTGGTTACATCAATATTCTTTCTTGTTTTGAAGAACAATGGAACAGTTTTCATCCTACACAAGCTTAAGCTGCAGTGCCCTTGGGTGAAGGAACAGTGCGTGACTATCCTGCAGCCTTGTGCTCCCACCTAAATCAGATTCAGTTCAGTCAGAGAGGCTAACAGCATTAGCAACAGAGGGAGGAGATGAACACAGAGCTGGATGTTCCAGGACTTTGCCCCTCTTTCCTTGGCCTTATAACCTTGTTAGGTCTCTAAGTGCTGCTGTAATTGCACAGCCTGCAGCTGAAATTTTCTCATAGACAGATGACTGTGCTTCCCTCAGCCTGACCTAATGTGAAATTTCCTCTCTCTGGTCCCATAATATCTATTATGACAAACAATTCAATAGAATAAAGTCACAACTGCCCAGTAGAAAATATCAGCTTTTTGCTATAATGTCAGCTTTCTCTTACCATAAAATTATAGGTGATCTAAGACAGTTTTGTCCTGAAGGTCTGTGGGTCTGTCAGAGGATAACTGTTCCTCACAGTGCCAATTAATCAAACTCTCCTCCTCTTCCTGTTTTGTGTACAGGCTGCAGATGAAGGAGAGTACCAGTGTGTGGCAGAGAGTGAAGCTGGAATAGCTGAGAGGACCATTACTCTCAAGGTTCAGAGTGAGTTGTGTTTAACATTTTACACATATTAACAGGATAAAAAATTCCAGTAACAAAACTTTTTACGCCATTGTCAAATGTTTGATGTGCATACTCCAGAGCGTCTCATCTTCCTTAGATTATGTCACTCTATACTTCAGGAAGATTGCAAGTTCCTCATTTGTTATTTTTGCAATTAATCCTGACCTGAAACTGTCTTCCTGTCTTCTTTCTTTCTAACACAGTCAATGGAGGTTACTCTAACTGGGAAGAATGGGGTCCATGTAGTAGCACCTGTGGACAAGGCTTCCAAGAACGACTCAGATTATGCAACAACCCAGAACCAGCCAATGGCGGCCAATCATGCAGCGGCCCCAGTATCGACTCTAGGAAATGTCAGGCTGGTCTGTGTCCAGGTACGACTGACTTGCATTATTGAAGTTTTTTCTTTAATTTGTCAAGCCTGTTTTGATATTCTTTGAAAAGGACGGCTCTTGTTATGTCCATGAGCTTATTGTCATGATTTCAGTATGTAAAACAATACAACATTTAACATAAAAGTATCAAATTCCAAACTTGAAATCTTGGCTGCTATCAGTAATTACAAAAATATAATTGCATGTAAACTCACTATTTTTCTGTTTGATGATGAAAGGAGAGACTCCTCGCAAAACCAGAGGCAGCCTAATAGGCATGATAAATGAGAGAGAGTTTGGTGTTTCTTTCCTGGAGGCCAATATTACAGAAGATGTGGAAGAGGGAAGCAGCACTCTGCAGGCCCACCTGGACAACATCCCCCCCAGTGTGGGTGAGTGATCTCATATTCCCATATCTGAGTAAAAAGACTACATATGGAGAGGAAGAGGTCTCCAAATAATTTCAGTGCAGTTTCTGGTTAGACAAGGTGCTGCTGAAATACTCTCCAAGATGCAGTGGACTGTAAACCCAGGAAGTAAAAATGTTTATTTACCACTTCTCACCATTTGCACAGTATGGGTTTATAGGGTACAACATAGTAGCAAGCAACTAACTGTAATGAAGGTATGAAGTAATGGAAAATTAATGTGTATGTATGTATATGTGTATGCAAAAAAAAATTCTGTCTATATATAATTAAAGACCGCTACATATGTTACATACATTTTATAATTTTGGACAGAGATCTCAGATATTGTTCCTGGGATCTGTTGGAGCCACTCTCCCAGTTTGGGGGTCACAGCCCCCAATGTTCCTATTACCACAGGGACCACTTGTGCCTTCACCTTCCACATCTTTTCTAGCTCTTCTTTCAGCCCTTGGTATTTCTCGAGCTTCTCGTGTTCCTTCTTCCTGATGTTATCGCTTGGGATTGTTACATCTTTCACTACGGCCTTCTTCTTCTGTTTATCCGCCACTACTATGTCCGGTTGGTTGGCCATTACCAGTTTGTCAGTTTGTATCTGGAAGTCCCACAGGATCTTAGCTTGGTCATTCTCAACCACCTGTGGAGGTGCATCCCATTTTGACTTTGGGACTTCCAGCCTGTACTCGGCACAGATGTTTCTGTACACTATGCCAGCCACTTGGTTATGGCGTTCCATGTATGCCCTGCCTGCTAGCATCTTGCATCCCGCTGTTATGTGCTGGATTGTCTCAGGGGCATCTTTGCACAGCCTGCACCTGGGGTCCTGTCTGGTATGGTAGACCCCGGCCTCTATGATCTTGTACTTAGAGCCTGTTCTTGTGCTGCCAGGATTAGTGCCTCTGTGCTGTCTTTCAGTCCATCATATCTACTGCTGCTGGTCATTTGCACTACTGTCCATGTGCATCTCAATCTCACAACCATCTGACAATCTTCTTATTTGCACATGGTTTGAGTCCTAGTCTATTAGGTTGCAATGTTTAGCTTTATCCTAATCACTTTGACTTAGTTTTCTTATTCTTTTTAGTCTATTTTTGCTCTACTTTTATTCTATTTTAGTTTCCTAAATGGTATGGTATTCAATACTATGTGATATAGAAACAGTATTTCCATTTTCTGTATGTTTTGCACATATAGTGAATTGACAAAAATCTTTGATCTTGAGATATATATGCATA